TTTGAGTATTCTACATTTCCTATTGGGCAATGGACCACAGGGCACTAAGCCTACATTTTTTTGTCTCCAAAATTAAAGTTATGGACCACTTGCCCTTCACTGAGATCCAATTCTCCCATCACAGCCGTCACTTTGACCAGTAGAAACACAGAACGATCTGCTGCCGTAGACAACTGTATGACAACACCCCAGCATTTTTAATATTTCCTCTAGGGTTGTTACCACACAGAGTAAAAGGGGGAAATGATAGTGTGAAACAGCAGAGGCGCTTTGTCAACCCAGTGAGTACTGTCATTAGCATCAAGCTAGCAAACAATGTTATGTCCTCATAATGGAGATGGACATACAGTAAGAAAATTAAAAAATAGTGGCTTTTACTCACCACAACTGCAGAGGCTACCAGCTTCATTTGAAACAGCGGCAATCTTTGTCAGTTGTTCTCCGTCTATAATTTTGCGCCCTACTTGAGTCATGCCCACCTCTATTTATTTTTCACCCCTCTCTCCAGTTCTGCTGTATTAACACCGGGTTCAATATATTTTGCTTCCATCTCTCTGCCCTGCTCTACTCTACTTCAAGGCTACTTAGCTTTCTCTCTACTCTACCAGTAGACTACCACATCCACCTGTTGCACAAAACACACACAGCAGTGTTTCCCCTAGGATGGAGTTGTAGCAGCGGAGGTGAAGCACACGCATGAAGAATAAGTTTCACATGCATGAAACTTTTTGGGATGCTTGCAAAGCACAGCCTGCTGGGATGTTTCTATGTATCTACTGGCATCAGGAGGGCTCTCTAGGACTAAGTACATAGTACATGTGTGCACAGTAATGAGCAGGTGAAATGTCTGTCTAGCTTACATATGAGGTGTCTCAAGATTTAGGAACATACAATTATATTGAACATAATAAAAGTAAAAAGTCACTTGACATGCTGCTGTTTTGTGCTATGACCTATTTAAGTGCTGGAACTTGTTATTTACGTGACAACGCCTGAACGCAACACAAGCTCAGCACCAAGCATGCTGTGTTGCGCTGCTCTGCGAGCAGCGTGTTTGTCTGTGAGTAACAGCAGTCTGTTGTTGGTTATTTACACAGTGTCCATAACAATAACTTTGTCAGCTGACAAACTGCACTGGGCTCGGGGTCAGGTTTGGTCAGGAAAATGCGGCCNTGTTACCACACAGAGTAAAAGGGGGAAATGATAGTGTGAAACAGCAGAGGCGCTTTGTCAACCCAGTGAGTACTGTCATTAGCATCAAGCTAGCAAACAATGTTATGTCCTCATAATGGAGATGGACATACAGTAAGAAAATTAAAAAATAGTGGCTTTTACTCACCACAACTGCAGAGGCTACCAGCTTCATTTGAAACAGCGGCAATCTTTGTCAGTTGTTCTCCGTCTATAATTTTGCGCCCTACTTGAGTCATGCCCACCTCTATTTATTTTTCACCCCTCTCTCCAGTTCTGCTGTATTAACACCGGGTTCAATATATTTTGCTTCCATCTCTCTGCCCTGCTCTACTCTACTTCAAGGCTACTTAGCTTTCTCTCTACTCTACCAGTAGACTACCACATCCACCTGTTGCACAAAACACACACAGCAGTGTTTCCCCTAGGATGGAGTTGTAGCAGCGGAGGTGAAGCACACGCATGAAGAATAAGTTTCACATGCATGAAACTTTTTGGGATGCTTGCAAAGCACAGCCTGCTGGGATGTTTCTATGTATCTACTGGCATCAGGAGGGCTCTCTAGGACTAAGTACATAGTACATGTGTGCACAGTAATGAGCAGGTGAAATGTCTGTCTAGCTTACATATGAGGTGTCTCAAGATTTAGGAACATACAATTTTATTGAACATAATAAAAGTAAAAAGTCACTTGGCATGCTGCTGTTTTGTGCTATGACCTATTTAAGTGCTGGAAATTGTTATTTACGTGACAACGCCTGAACGCAACACAAGCTCAGCACCAAGCATGCTGTGTTGCGCTGCTCTGCGAGCAGCGTGTTTGTCTGTGAGTAACAGCAGTCTGTTGTTGGTTATTTACACAGTGTCCATAACAATAACTTTGTCAGCTGACAAACTGCACAGGGCTCGGGGTCAGGTTTGGTCAGGAAAATGCGGCCCGAGCCGCTCTAGCGTGATCACCTGTGTGTGTGGCGGAACTCGGCCGTGCGCGATACAGAGAGCAGAGGAGAATTGTTAAAACGTGACCATGTAGAGACAGAAATGACACGATGACATAACACCATAAATAGTACATTGTTATGTTATTACATGAAGCGTCCGTCGCGCAAAATAATATGACTTTAGTTTATGAAGAGGTAAGACAGAGCTCTCTCCTCTCCTCTTATATGCTGTGCCGCTCTGTGCTTCACTTGTGCTATGTAACCAATCAATGGGGGCTGTGGGCAGGACATTGTTACACAGTGTGTGCCTGTGACTTCAGGCAGAGAGACCACTGCATCACAGCCGAAGGAGCACGTTTTAAAATACATTTATTTTATCAATTAGTTATTAACTTTTACTATTTTTTAGCAACTTGCCCGATCGGGCAGGTGAGTTGTTAGTTTACATGCCCCAGGCAATCCGGCAATCGTTATTGTTGAGCGCTGAACACTTACTGAATTTGTTTCAAATTAAAAGCCCCATATAACCTCGGCGATAGAATTCCTCCATTTTCTAAATAGGCATTTGTAGGAACATTTGTAGGAACTTGGATGTGGAGGATACAGTAGCTTGAATGTTTGCATACAGTACTTCAGATGAAGCTCCTGCCATCTGCTGGCGCTTTTTAGGTGACTACAACAACATTTCAGCTGGCACATGAACAGACAGTGACTCAGATGATAGTAGAAGTAATAAAAATAGGACAAGAATAACCCGATCACATCACACATGCTGTGAAAGACAACCGGGGATAATTGGTGTGGACCATCGTGTAGTGTGTCATGTCTGTCAGCCAAGTCACGGCACGATTTTATGACTCCACAATCGTTTAATGTGACATAGTGACTTTCAAAACGGGCAGAAAAGTTGTGTAGTGTGTACCAGACATAATGCAAGTCCTCCTGAGTCTGACCTGTCTGTCAGCGAGTCCTCCATCTATTGAGTTGTGGGGATTTTACTGACGATCCTGCGGAATGTTTTAGACTCCACCGTAGACAATGGCAGACATTTCTTCTACCACGTAGCTAGCCACAAGCTTCATGACTTCTTTCAGACTGATAGGTATAACGTTATCTCCATTATTAGAACCAAAAGACAGTCATTGCTGTTTTGGAGCTGAAGGACCAGTGTTCTAAAAGTAACGGAAGTAACTGATGTCTTGTTTGAAAATATAAAAGTATTTGATTACTCAAACAGCAAACTAACGCGTTAGGTTACCCGATACTGCAAAAAGTAAGTTAGTTTGTAACGCGTTTTACCCAACTCTGGTGCTAACATAGTTAACAGTGCTAAAGGAGTTTTGCAGCTGAAAATGAAGCTGCATACTCACCATGGCTACCTGGGGGAGACTGAAGGGTGACCACAACGTATCGCTCCAACACCATGCCGTCACCAGGACGGTGTCACTAGCTGTATGAATGAACAGCACTGTTGCTAACTCCCATCCGACCTTGGTGATACACAGTGCAGAGTGGACAAGGCTGACGTTTACTAACCAGTGGAAACTGGAGGGCGGGCCGTGGACACTAAAGCCTTGTTTCCACCAAGCAGTACTTTACAGTTCTGTCCGGTCACTTTTTTTCCGTTTCCACTGTGAAAAGTTGTGGGTCTGTTGGGGCACCTTGCACACAGATCTGGTACTAAAAGGTTGAGCTGCGAACACTGCAGTCTGGGGGTTATGCAACCTCTGTTCATACTGTGGAGAGTTTTACTAGTAGACTATAACTATAAAATGACAGTATGACTTGCTGCCTCTAGCAGCAGCTATGAGGAAATACAGTGAGTGCTGGAAGGAGCAGTCAACCCCGTGACAACAACCCTGCCCACATTTAAGGGTACTGTTTGCAGTGGTAACATTAGGGTCTAGGTTCCATGTCTGAAGGGTTACATTTGGTTCCAGAGGTACCATATCAAAAGTGTTTGGTGAAAACGGGGCTTAGTTTTCCACATGTTAACGTGTTTAGCTGCCTGTCTGTCAGCAAAGCCAGCAGAAAATAAAAATAAAGGAAATATATTTATATCACCAATCATTAAAATTTCACCACCCCTAAATGGAGTATTTCATGTAATTTTGTATTATTATTATTTTTTTAATTAGTCAATTAATTACTGGTTAATGGGTGTTGGGCTATTGAAAGCAAAATTAATTAAACTTACATCCCTAGCCACAATCATATAAACACAAGTAAAATGGCCGTCACTAATGTACCTTTCAGTCTTCAACCCAAATTGGGTACCCTGCAAGTTGGCAGTTACTGATGACTGCTGTTGGTGTGTGCTTTTTGCCAACGTTAGCTGTTGAACCGTGGGTGTCACGGGTGTCATCTGTGTTACTGTGCTACTGGGATAGCTGCTAACAAGAGTCTGTCACTTCGCAGCAGCTCAATCTTTGTTTCAGCTCCTTCAGAAGACACACCCCAGAGATCAGAGTATACTGCTAATATTTTCTCTGATTTTGAAACCTCATTTTATATACTTTGGGATTTTTTTAATCCTTAAAATTTGGCTTGGTAGTCAATAACACATTTTACTGTGGTGTGTCAGACTCATTACAAACAATTTTATTTTTGCTTTACCCACACTTAAGTGCTCTGTTCTATAATACATTCATTTTAAAATTATGTTGCGTCTCATTACTTGTATCGTAACTTTATTACATGCATACTATCTTTGTGTACAGACATAACCTTTCATAACAAATTCAGGGCATGAACCACTTGAAGCAGATCTGTCAAAATTTACCTTTGAAAGAGTTCTTGAGGCTCACAATGTGAGGATGGCTTGTGTTCATCAGGAGCTCTATCTCTGGGATTAATGCTGGATTTGTGGATGTCTGTTAAAAACAAACGAACAAATGAACACAAGAAAAAAAAACACTTGCATAAGAATGTTCCGGCAGAGGTGCCTGGCAGCAGACAGGTTAAAGATGTATGTCTGATATAGATGTCAATCAAATTGATCCTTTTGGCTGAATACATTGTAAGTAGGAGAGATACCCATAATGATTTCACTGTTGCATTCTTTGAGTAATAGCTTTCCAGTCTGGTGTGTGAGAAAAACGCAGAACATCAATTACTGATCCTCTCTGCGACCTGAAAAAAAAAGTATGCAAACAAAAAAAAAAGAAAAAGAAAAAAAAAAGCTAGCCAGGAATCGAGGAACGGAAGGCGTTATCTTAAACCTTTAAGACTCCTTGGCAAAAAGAGTAATTTTACTTAAAGTTGGAGTTGCTGTTCTACCGCTGCCTTTATCAGTTAGTCTGTAAGGTAAAGCAGCAAAATAGTTTTCTATGTTAGCTATGATATGTTTTGTTGCAGCGCTTGTCCACAGCAGTACATAGTTTGGCTTCCATGCTGGTAGTTTTATTGTATCATAGACACTAGCAAAGCAACACAGTAGAAACATCAGATAGTCGGACTACCGTGTTTACGTTAACTAGACATCTTTAACAGTTATGGTCATGGCTGAAAATGAAAACAGAAATAAACAAGTTTGCAGCTTTCACATAAGTCCCTATTTGATATCTGTTGGCAGTTTACTACCTGCAGAGTTACCGCGGTCATGGAAATTCTGGAAAAGTCATGGAATTTCTTAATCGCATTTTGCAGGTCTAGAAAAGTCTTGGAATTAAAACATTGAAAGCTTTGGAAAAGTCGTGGAATTTTGTTCTGTGTAATGAAATTAATTGTTACAAAAATCTTAAATGGTTAACCTTCCTCATCATGTCACAGGCATAACCAACAAGATTGGAAAAGGCTGCTCTTAGTTTTCACACATTAACAGTTGGAGTAAAGTATAATCTACCATTATATTCTTGTTATAGGTTGTGCATTGTCATTACATTTTACTATGCGTCCTTGAAAAACCACAAAAAAATGTTGAAATTTTGTCCATGAAAATGCGTGGGAAGTGATTGTTAGCATGACGTCATGTTGATTCAGGCTATGGTCATACAGCCTTATAAAAATTATGCTTCAATAGGGCAAAGTGCGGTGAGGTTTGTGGACCGTTACCTGCTACAAAGAGAGAAATGTGAACGGCTCGTTTATCCTCTGACACGCCACATACCTGTGTGCTGCCATGGCTCGGTTGTCCAGGTACTACTGGGCAGTCATGACACCAGCGAAAGAGGAAATTACTGGACCTGAAGTCGGACTTCTCTGTCGCCGGTAAGCCGTTAACTTGCGCCGCAGAGCACTATGAGCCTCCACCGTATTCCTGTCTGTGACCCCAGTTCAACCCACAACCACCAGGATTTGCCTTTCCTTTCTGCTGCTGGTTGAAACGTGATAATAGGGGTGCCCCAGCGCCCACTCCACTAACTTGACGTGGAAATGAGCAGTAGTCTGGAAAACTGGCGAGTTTTTTTTTTTTTTTTTTGTGCTTTTTTTTGGAGGGTGCTCATGCGCCCTCACATAGATTGCGCCCTGGGTGGTCGCCCACATTGCCCATGGCAAAAACCTTCCCTGCGAACGGTCCCTAACTGCGGAGAGAACGGAGCAGGCTTCTCCGGAGGTCCGCCGCTTTTCCCGGTCCCTCTTCTCCACCACACTTTGACTTATTCCCACCCAGCCGACAGCCTGGCCGTGGAGAACGGACCCTAACTGCGAGGAGAACGGAGCAGGCTTCCCCGGAGGTCCGCCGCTTTTCCCGGTCCGTCTCCTCCACACTTTGACTTACTTCCACGCTGCTGACAGTGGGACTTATATTCATTGTGCCGACAGTGGCTTGGAAAACTGCCCAAAACCGTGTCACACGGGGAAGAGAGAAGGCGGCTGGAGTTCCTCCAACATTTGCAGTTAGATTATCATATTTTTTTATTGACAAAAATATAGGCTGCTTCGGCTGATTTTTTTTTTTATGCGCACATGTGCCCCTAAATATTTTTTACAGTTCGCAGACACCTATTTTTAGTCGCAAATGCGAGTGAAACGCTCGCACTGTCGAACCCTGAGTCATATTGTTTAGATATGGCATGTGACTTAGCTGTTGACTTGTTTTTTCTCCAAAATTGAAAAAAGAGAGGCAGCATGATGGAATGACTGGGTATGTCTCAGCCTCTCTTCCAGCCCCACATCTTTTGATACTTCTTTCCTGTTCCAAGGAGGAGGCACTTAAAGCCACTACAAGGAACTTTTAACTGGATATGCAAAAGTCTCTCTGTTCTGCTGATGTCTGTACGTGACCTACAACAGCAAATGAGACCATCGGTGTGAAGATAAGCTATTTCTATATAGTGTATATCCATACCTTTAGGAAACTGTGTACGGGTCTGTCCCAGGTCGCTTCTGGGACGAAGCGATTTACGGCACTCAGATGGCACACGTCATCTTACCTAGCTGCTTACATTTATAGTGACTCTTATAAATAGTAGCTATTCCTCCTCCTCGACCCGACGTCTGCGGGGAGTTAAAATAGCAGCAATCATCGGGTAAAAGTTCTGTGAAAGCACTGGACTCACCAACAGTCAGCCACGTATCAGTCACACAGAGAAAATCCAATCCTTGGGAAGTCAGGAAATCCTTCAGGATAAACGTTTTGTTCGCTAGAGATCTAGCATTTACCAGCCCAATCCTGGCAGGAGCCAGCGGGTCCACGGAGTTAGCTGTCCGAGGAGCCACACACAGAGACAGCAGGTTGCGCAGATTCACCCAGAAACAGCGGGGACGAAGAGAGCAGGGGCCGCGGGGCTGGAACACCTCATCCGGGCCGACGACAGGTACCAGCCAGGCGTCGACAGGGTCCAGTGAGTGCCGAGAAATAAAGAGGTGAGGCACCGCTCCATACTCAGTCCAAGAAGCCGTGGAAGTGCTCGCCAAACAGGCCTTGAGCCTTACCAGCCGACCGCTGCGTTTACCCCGGCAGCAGTGGCGCTTACGCCGGAGAGGTGGAGCTGGGGCGTGGCATAGGTGAGCTGGGATCCCCAATAGGAGCGGGGGCAAAGTTTCCCGTCTTGTTGTTTCATTCATCCCCAAAACAAACACATGCGCGCGCCAGGTAAGCGTCTTTACGACAATCCGCGCTAGAGCTCATGGGAAATGTAGGCTTCATTCTAGCAAAACACTACCGCTTTTGTCCAAAGGGTCGCCAAAATCAACTCAAAATGAAAGTTCCTTGTAGGGGCTTTAAGTCAAAAGTCTGGGGTTTAGAGAAGGCTACTCTTTAAGTTAGCTCTCTTTCTGGAGCTAAAAATGCAGATGTTTCCTAAACTCAAGGTTAACAAACTCAGTGTTTTCTCTAAACCTGCTTTCTGAAACAGGGCCTTGGACATATGTTTGATATTTTTCCATATAAATAGGAACTCTTAACTTACCTGATCCAACTTGATCTGTTTTATGAGATATGTGTCATCTCCCTTTGTGGCAACAACAGCATTTTCTGTTGTTTTTTGGAGTACGTAGCCATGTTTTTCCAGGGTGCTCTGTGTTGTCCCCATCTTTATTTCCTAAAGGCACACAAATGATCAAACCAACACAAACGTCATAGTTGTCTATACCTTGTGTAAGTGACATTTTTTATATTGTTGCTGAATATTGTTTTCCCATTTTTCTATTTTATATGTTAAAATGAAAAATCACATTTAAATTCAACATACAGACGGCCTCTTGCACTTTATCTTTTTGAGAAGGAGTCCATCAGTTTACAAAGCAACTCACACATATACACCCACAGAAGTGTTTTGATCCCTGTTTGATAACAACAAAATAATATGAAATCTAGCCTTTCACTGGGACAACTAAAAATAGAGCAATGTGAACCTTAGTTTATACTGAGAATTGAAAAGAAACTGCATATTAAGGTCTTGACTCATATAATGCTGTCACTTTGAATCATCCCTTCACAGCCTTTAAAGAGATGTTGAACTCATACAGTATTTCCTGTGTCAGATGGTGGAAATGTACCACATTCTAACAAGTTACATGTAAACTTAACAAAGAAAATACCTGTGAAGAAAGTCAAGGATGCAAGACTGTAAAAATTCCAGTATGATTCCCAAGATGTATTTTGTTAAGAAACATCTCATAACTGAGCTAAAAATTCTGTTGCATGCACTGCTAATGGCAGGTGAAAGCTACATGCTTACATTTGGTAAAAACCTGAAAAATATTCAGCAAGTTACAACAGATCAGTTTTATATTCTGCATCATTCTAGATAACATTAGAAACTTCTGCGTGGTGTTTTGTTTCTTTTGTTTTGTATATTTGTATGTAACGACAAAACATACTAAATTTTCTGTCTGATTACACAAAGAAAAAAAATAGAAATGTACAGTAATTTAATTTGCTAGATGTATGTGTATCTGATGTGCTGTGTGTGTGTGTGTGTGTGTGTGTGTGTGTGTATGTATGACAAAACTGTCACTGTATATTCTTCCTGATTTGCTAAAAGGTACACATTCTTTCCACACACATCCTGTTCTTACAAAAACAGTTTTTGTGTTCCTCATGTGGTTTCTCATAGTTAACCTCAGTTCACCTCAGGCTGCGAGCAGTGTACTGTGACCAGTTGTCTGTATGAATTAGTATTGAAATTAAATGTGGAAATGGTGGCACAGTGGTTCAGTGGTTAGCATTGTGTCTTCACAGCAAGAGGGTTCCTGGCCCTTCGGGCTTGAACCCCTAACAATTATAATTATAAAAATAATAACATAACGATAATACAGTAACCAAGCTCTCTTTTTATGAGAAATGTTTCGTCTCCCTTTGTGGTAACATTTTCTTTTTCTTCCTGTAGCATGTAGCCACTTTGTGGTACTCTGCTCTTTTCACAACTTTATTATTTCTAAATGACACACAAATGATTAAGCCAACACAAAGTTTTATTCCTAAATTATTGTCACCACACATTTTTTTTTTTTAGTTGTTGCTGAACATTGTTGCGACATTTTTCCATTTTAGAGAAGTTTTGAAGAATAAAGCATTTACATTTAATGTAAATGCTTTATTCCTTTTTGAGCCTGTAATACGTATTTTCCTCACAGGAGAAAACAGGAGTAGAAACCAAGCAAAGGAAGATGTTCACTGAATTATGGACCCAGAACTCTCAGATGATCCTAATATTAACTTATTAACCTGTAACTATTAAGGGTACAAAGGTTTCTAGAGCAAAAGTTTTTTCCAGCAACACTCACACATTTACAGCTTCTTATTTATGTTTGATAAAAAAACAAAAAAAAACAATAGAGAATAGGGCCTTTAATTTTGCTAATCAAAATGAGAACATACTGTGAAACATGCAAGTACTGTACATACCCAAATGCAGGAGGAGGAGACCCAACATCAGTGACTGAAGCTCCGCTCTAACAACAGAAAGTGAAAATGAATTTACAGTAAAAAGAACCCACATATTAAAGTCTCCACCCACATCATCCAGGCATTGTCCAATTACAACCTTGATCTTGAACACGCTGCGCTCTCCCTGCAAAGTGCATGGTGGTCTTTCTGATGCTAACACTATTGTAGCATCTTTCTCATCTGTAATGTATTCCTGATGGCCACTGTCTAAATCAGGAAGGTCTGTTTCTCCATGGACCTTGCTGTTCTTCCTGACTGGCTCTGAGGCATATAATAAAGAAAACTATGGACAACCAAAGATTTTTTTAAAATATTTGTCATAATTTTATCAAACCGATAGATCAAACCACATGCAGAGCAGAAATTCTGGGAATGAGAGAGTACTTCTGGTTATTTGGTAAGTTTTAACAAAGTGAGTGTGTGGTATACACACCCAGTCTGCAGTTAAACATTTCCTGATATTTATTCTGAAAAATTGAGATTGCAGTTAACAGTTAGCAAATGCATCCCTGATAGTTTCACAAACTGAGGCTGTAGTTAGCAATGCTTCTCTGATAGTTACATAAACCAAGGCTGTAGTTAGCTTAGCTTCCCTGATTGTTACACAAACTGAGGCTGCAGTTAGCAATGCCTCTCTTATAGTTACACAAACTAAGGCTGCAGTTAGCAATGCCTCTCTTATAGTTACACAAACTGAGGCTGCAGTTAGCAATGCCTCTTATAGTTACACAAACCAAGGCTGTAGTTAGCAAAGCTTCCCTGATTGTTACACAAACTGAGGCTGCAGTTAGCAATACCTCTTATAGTTACACAAACCAAGGCTGTAGTTAGCAATGCTTCTCTGATAGTTACATAAACCAAGGCTGTAGTTGACAATGCTTCTATCATAGTTACATAAACCAAGGCTGTAGTTAGCAATGCTTCTGTCACAGTTACACAAACTGAGGCTGTAGTTAGCAATGCTTCTCTCATGGTACACAAACTGAGGCTGTAGTAAGCAATGCTTTTCTCATGGTACACAAACTGAGGCTGCAGTTAGTAAAGCTTTCCTGATAGTTATACAAACTGAGGCTGCAGTTAGCCCTGTAAGGCCCACTGTTGTAAAATTACAACATCACTTTTAGCTGTCCCAAAAACAAACTTGCAAATGTTGTTTTTTTAAAGACCATATTTACATAGTCATTAGGTCCTATTGTTTAGCCTTGCAATGCCATTGTATGGTAAATGTGTAAATAGGTCTGGCCATCAGGCCATGAACTCATACAACTTGCAAACTTTCCTGGATGTACATCTCCCTGTTTCACTTAACTATATCAACATTGAAATAAGTAAAATCTGTGAAATATTTTTTTTTGTGATTGACAACGTTGGGTGAGGATGGTAGTCAAAATAGCATATGCGCCTTGCACATTACATGGGGACATTGCACTTCTCAAATGTTCAAATATGGTAAAATACTTATTACTACTAGAAATATAATGTATTTGATGATTTACAATTTCTAAATATGTTTATTTGTTCAGACCAGATTTGAGTAATTCTGGATGAATAAATGATTTCTTGTTGTGGTATTTCAAGTCCTTTCAGTAGCAGTATTGTGTAACTGTGGCTGTATTTTATCAGTTAAAATACATATACATTTCTGGGCTTTGTTTGTTTGGTCAAATATCTAAAGCCAGACACTGGTTGTGTAGGATGGTCACTGTATGGCTGTAGGGGCAGGTGTGAATGTTCTTGACTGTGGGGATGTACAGTAAGTGGTCTGGGGGGTTGTATGTATGGTGCACTGTTCTGGACTCTGGGGATGTAAGTGGTTTGGGGGTTCCTTTTAGTATGTTAACTAGAGAGTACATTAGGCTAGCCAGACAGTATTGTGCGACTTCAGTCGAATGTATCACACTATTAGGATTCATTTGCACCAAATCCTACACGGAGGTTGAGAGGCCTTACATTGTGGGTACCTATAATAAATACATGGGTGGTGTGGATTTGTTGGACTCATTTGTTGTAAAATAGCTAGGGATGCACCGAATATTCGGTAACCGAATATATTCGGCCGAATATTGCAAAAAAACACACATTCGGTATTCGGTGGAATAAGTTAAAAGCAAGGCCGAATAATAGCGGCGTGTTTTGATAACGCAATCAAACAGCGTGCCTTGACAGGCGGAGTAAAATGTCGGCAG